CACTTAAATGGACTCAACTTGATAAATTTATTTACTCATATATTTGTAGTTCATATCTGTGTAACAATAATAAAGAAAGGATACTAGGCCAGGAGGTGGTGGCACATGCCTTTAATCCCATCACTCAGGAGGCAGAGGCAGGTGGATCTCTGTGAGTTCAAGCCCAGCCTGGTCTACAAAGCTACACAAAGAAACCCTGTCTCAAAAAACAAAAAACCAAAAGAAAAAAGATTTTAAAAAAAGAAGAAGAAAGGATACTAATTTGAGAGTGAGGGCCTATGGGAGGGATTGGGGGGGAGGAGGAAATCATATAATTACATTTTAATTAAGAATAAGCCAGGTGGTAGTAGCACACACCTTTAATCCCAGAACTTGGAAGACAGGTAGGTTGATCTCTGTAAATTCAAGGCTAACCTGGTCTACAAAGGGAGTTCCAGGACAGCTAGGGCTGTTACACAGAGAAACCCTGTCTCAAAAATCAAAACAAAAACAAACAAATAAGAATAAAATAAAGATTTTTAAATCTACTCAAAATTCAATAACTAACCCAAAAGTGTCAAAGTAATTTCAGCACAAACTTTCACAAAAAACAAAATACTTCACATTAAAGATGATAAAAGAGGCTGGCACATTTCCTGCTCTTTAGCTGACCTCACATTTGTTTGAAGATTCAAGAAAGATGAAGGAAGGCAAGGTTCACTCATGGCTGCCTCCCCATCCTTCTTTCCTCTCTTCTCTCTCTATGGCCTGAATTCCCAGATATACCCATTTCTCACGTGGGATTGCTCTTAAGTTATTTTGCACTTTTGCTTTATGTGTGTGTGTGTGTGTGTGTGTGTGTGTGTGTGTGTGTGTGTGTGTGTGTGTGTGTTAGATGCACATGGGTGTAGCGATGCCTATGCCTATGTATGCACATGCAGAAGTTAGAGGGGAGTCAGGTGTCTTCCTCTAGTTCTTTTTGCCTTGTCCTGTAAGACAGGGTTTTTCACTGAATCAGAAGCTTGCCATTGTGTCTAGGCTGGTTAGCCAGAAATCTCTGGGACTCTTCTGTCTCAGGTTATAATTATACACCATGGCCAGCTTTAACACAGGTGCTAGGGATTGTACAGCAAGGACACTTACCCATCAAGCTATCTACACAGCTTCTCTTCTTAAATTAAGGTCATCCTAGAGGCCACAGTGACTGCACTGGGAAGGGACATTCCTAGTCCTAGTGGCAAGGTGGTATCTACTGATTAAGTATCTACAAACATAAGACATACCTCTAACCAGTGATGCTTTTACTTCCTTGAAATTACTTTGTTTCAAAGATGTATACTCTGTCATCCAGCTCTAAATGAGCAAGAATTGAGTACTTAATTTCAAGTTTAAGATACTATAAAATACTATGAGCCACTAAAAGAAAAAAAGAAAAATGTACTTACACAATCCAATGCTTACTTTTAATTTTCCTACCACATATATATTTGTTGCTCTTCTGTGCTATCCAAATGTTTTATTTATTTATGTTTTATTTATTTAATGTGTGTTGCATGTGTGTATGTGGTACATCGTGGGCACACATACATGGTGTGCATGTAAGAGTCAGAAGATAACTTTTGAGTGTCTACTCTTGCCTTCTACCATGTGGAAGGGTCGAAGGAATCAACTCAGGTAGGTCATCAGCCTCTATAACAGATAAGCTACCTCACTTACTCTGAGCCCTTCCAAGTCTGAGATAAGTTCTTCTACTTTTGTACTGGGCTTTCTTAATCTTAATAGAAGTTGTCAATAAAAAAAAAAAACTTCAAGTAAGCACAGCAACACAATTTCAATAGCAGCTAAGTACAACCTAATAGCATAGTCTGTATTACTTCCTTTGTCTTGTTACTTTATAGCTTCTTTGGCCATAGAAGCAGTTTCAAACCAATTATTAGTTTGGGTTCCAATTGCATAAGACCATGATGAGGTGGCCAGGAATATGAATTAGTCAGTAAAGTACCTGCCACACAAGCATGAAGACCTGAGTTCAGATCCCCAGAACACATGTAAAAAGCCAGGTGCAGTGAGTGCCATGTACCTGTTATCCCAGGGAGCCAGACAGGAAGATCCTAATGCTTGTTGGCCGGATGGTGTAGCTGAGTCAATGAGCTTCACCTTCAGTGAGAAACCCTGTTATATGTACATATCTTCTCATGCATACATGAACACATACATAAGTGTATAACACATATGCACACACATGCAAAGAAGACATTAGAATTAGAAACAGCAGCAGCTGCTGGATTCAAACAGAACATTCTGATGACACCCAGACAGGGCAGTAATAACAGTGAAGATACTCCCCTTTCATGGTGGTTGGAGAAGAAAAAAGAACAAGAAAAAGAGAAAAAAGACAAATGATCCCCAAGACAAGCTATAGCTCCCTAACATATCCCCTGTGATCTACTCCATCTAGTTGGCCCAACTTCTGAAAATTGCCATGACTTCACAGTGATGACATCAAATTATAAATCTACTGGCAGATTGACCCACTGATTACACTGAAGCTCTCTCATGGTCCAATTTTTAAGCCTGTATCACATGATCCCATTGAGGGCACTTAACATCCAAACCATAAAAATCCATCTGGCAGTTACGAGACTCTAAAGCTTAGACCTCAACATATGAAATTGAAGGTAGAGAAATGAAATTAGCAGGCTGGAGAGATGGCTCCTCGGTTAAGAGCACTTGCTACTCTTCCAAAGGACCTGGGTTCAATTCACAGCACCCACATGGTAGCTACCAACTGTCTGTAACTCCAGTTCCAAGGGATCTGGCACCCTCATACAGACATACATTCAAGCACAACACCAATGTACATAAAAATAAATAAATCCTTTTTAAAAAAGAAATGAAATTAGCTTCCTCTGTGTGTTTTATTTTCTGTATTTGTTTCTCTGACAAAAGCATCATGAAAAGGAGGAAGTTCAAACTGAAGTGAGCTACAAACTTCATTTCCAACACAGGAGTTGGCTTGGCCTTGAGGTAAGACAGATGAGATCATGGACGGTTGCATGGTCACATTGCTCTTGACCTTCCCTCCTCCTGTTCTCTCCCCATCTTCTTCCACCTACTACTCTCTCCAAGCTCTCTTCTCCCTTTCTTCTGAGGTTCCATGTGACAAGATAAATCTACAGTGATAAAGTTTAAAATTTTTATTATTTATTTATATGATGGAAGGCAGAGGACAACTAGTAGGAATTGGTTCTCTCCTTCTACCGTGTGGGTTCTGAAACTCAGGTTGCCATGCCTTTACCCGCTGAGCTGACTCACCAGAACCTTGACCAACTTTTCTAGATAGGAGACATATGAAATGATATGACAGCCTGCGCTGACAGGTGGGGACAGTGAACATAGGGAACTGTGCTGCTTTCCTTGGGCTTTATTTGGGGTGCATGCCCACCTCTTCTCTGACCTCTCTCTGCCCCACCAATGCATCTGGACCAAGCTGTTTAGGAAGAGAAGGAATCGGAAGGAAAAGAGATGTTTTCTATGCCTTTTGTTCCTGTTCTCCTTTCTACCCATTATCCCAAGGTCTCTCACTCTTTCCAACTCCCACACATAACTTCCCAAGCACAGAAGGACAGGGTTGACTCGGGGCAACAGCCATGAGCACCTCTAGTCAGGATATGAGGGTCTGAATCCTAGTTTATTAGGTACAAACTGTGTGATGATGGCAAATTTACTATCCATTTCTAAGCCTTAGCTGTGTGGTCTATGATTATAATACAAAATAAATAATTAAATGATATAGGGCATGCAAAATCTTTATTGCCTAGCCATAGGCGCACTAATTTTAAATGATTATTTCTCATCATCTCTGTTTTGAGTGATGATGGTGGCTGTCTGCTTTTTTTTTTCTTTTGTGAATATACTTTTTTGAGAGTCTCATTGTTTTTTATAGTTTAGCTTCTATGGACTGATGCGCTGGGGCCATATCTCAGGAGCTAATGTCGCTGGGCTATTTCAGTCTTTCAGTATCTTCACTCTCTTGTTCATCTTGACTGATTTTATCCTCTCTGTGAACATACTTTAAGAAACTACAAAAGGAGCCCACTGAGTTAACAGTAGAAATTCTGACAGGGAAAACTATCCTAAAAAATGGAGTTGCAAAGTTTGCCGTGCCCAAGGCCATGTGCTTATGAGAGGCCCAGCCCAGACGGAAAGTTTGGAGACAGACTTAGGATTTACCATTCTTCTTGGACTCTGAAGAAAGGGGTCTCTGAGAAATGACTGTACTTGTGACTTATATTTGCTTTATGACCAGCAATGGTTAGTATCTTTTAGCTTTTGACCTTCTGCATGTATTTCTGTATTCCATACAGAAAGCATATTTGGTAGAAAGAATAATCTCTTGAATGTATGTACACAAATTTGGGGGTTCTGTTTCTTCCCTTCCTACAATCATTTTTGATAGACAAAGGGTGAAATCAGAGGCATAGCATCACTGTTTTCTGTTGAAGCTATCTTCAGAGAAGGTAAACCTGAGTTATGTAACTGAGAATGAACTGTCAAGAATTAGATAGGTATCCCATTTGCCCCCTAACAAAAGCTAAAGCTCAGTCATGGTGAGGTGTTTAATGCAGTTTTTATACCTTTACACAAAAGGACATGAAATCCCTCCATGATTAAATAATTGGGAAGATAGGAAATAATAGTTTGGGGTAGAAGGCATATGTTGAAGTCTCCTTACCTTCCTTCCCACCCTAGTAAGGATTGCCAGCCACACACCCATCCTGTTCTATGACTGGTGTCTGTACTAGCAGACAACTTTTCTGTTTGTTTACTGTCAATCACCCCTAAAGTATAAGCTGCTGATGTACATGTGCCTACAATGCCTGGAGTGGAGTCAAGCCTATTACGGGTTTTGATAAAAACCAACTCAGTAATAACGAAAAGAGGCTGTGTAAATATGACCTTCTTTGTGTATTCATCAGTTTGTTTTCCATTATCTCACGTCTCTGACGTTTCATGTCAGCATGATGAAGAAGAACAGGAAGGCAGTGGAAGAGCAAGAACCTCTCTGGATCCCACAGTCTCATGGTCTAGGGCATCTTAAGAATATACTGGATGGAGGAGAGTATGCCCCTTTTATATCTCCTCCCATACTGGAGAGCAATTTTATTCAGGTAAATAGCACTTGCACTCTCAATTAAGTTCTAGAAGCTTCCATATTTCATTTTCTCAGACAGTGAAAGGTTGAGAGGAGAATTTTTAATGTGCTAAGGGGACACTGTGATATTAAGGGGGAAAATTAGTGTTACAGGAAAATTCACTTCAGATGTTCCCAACAAACTCGAAGGCAAGAATTCTGTGCAAATTCTACCATAATTGTCATGCTAACATAATCTTGTTAAACAAAATGATTTTTAGAACATACCATCACAGTAGGTATTCAGATAATTTCTTAGAGTTTTGCTTTAATTTTAAAAATTGTATATTTTATGTATATGAGTGGCTTGCCTGCAGGTGTTTGTGCACCATGTATGTGCCTACAGACAGTTGTGAGCCACCTTGTAGATGCTGGTAACTGAACCCAGATTCTCTACGAAAGCAGCAGGTTCTTAACAACTGAGCTCTCTGTAGCTCCTAGACCTATATTATAAAGACAAGCATCTGAGGCAGGAGATGAGATCAATGGTAGAGCCCTTGGGTAACATGCACAATGCCCTGGGTTCATTCTCTAGTGCCCACATAAATAAACAACAACCTGGAAAGTGCTAAGAATTGAAATTAATCTTACATGATTTCCTGATTCTGGAGTTCCAAGTGAGTGGGGAGAAGAGCATCTTAGAGAGCACCCAGAGTGCTTGCTCACTTGAACTAACTGCTAAATGTGTGCAAGCGAGCACATGACCAGCTACGTTCCTAAGTCAATCCCCAAGCCACAGCTCCACAGTACCCTGAAGTACTGATAGTTACCTCAGTTGCTAGCACTGGTCCTCCCTAGGAGACCCCACAAACCAGAGACTGTGGCTAGTCATTGTGCTATCTCCAAATCATGAACAAGTCATGGAATGGAGGCACCATGACTCACTCCCCTCTTGTCCTCTGGCCTCCCTTATACTGCTCTGGCAAGCAAAGGTGCTAGAGCCATGCCTTTTATCAAGAGACTTCTTTCCTGTTCTCTGCATTCAGGTCAATAGGAAAGGTGAATCTATTTATCTGCATAACCGAGCAAACTGGGTGACAGTAGGCATCTGTTCTTCCAATCCCATCCTCAAGACCCCGAATGTGATGCTGTTGGCACATCTGACACCAGAGGCTCGAAAAGAATCAGAACCCATCTTTAAAAGCCTCCTGGCATCTTCCTCTACAGAGAATCTGGTGCTCACTAGGTAAGTCACAAGGACAGGAGAGAGCACCATATCCCCACACAGCTGGAAGTGGAAATGCTGATGGCCAGGGTTCCAAAGGAGCATTTCAAGTGCATTACTTTCACAAGTGATGCAGGAGTGTCTCTAAGAGCATCAAGAGAAAAATGGTTTATGACAACTAACAATTAAGATGGGGAAAAAAGACTACAGTAACGAGGACTGAAGACTCAGCAGAGTCTCTCTAAAGTTTGCCCCACAGCAGCCTCCCTTTATCAGGATTTGTTCTGGCCTCATCTCATCCACTAACTTGGTCTATGATCTTGATCAAGTAGCTTTCCATCTCACTTTTAGATACTTTTATCACTATATATTTATTGTATGATATTTTCATATATGTGTATTAAGTACATTGACCATATTCATCCTTCTTTACCCTCCTTTGTCCCCCAACCCCATCCCATTGGGCTGCATCGCATATACTCTCCTTTTACTTTCTTGTCTTTTATATTTGTGTAATTGTGTGTGTGTGTGCATGCATACTTGTTACTTGTGCATGTGTGTGTGTGCATGTGTGTCATGGCATACATGAGGAGGTCAGCAGACCACCTCAGGTGTCAGTCATCAACATTCTACCTTGCTAGAAACATGGTCTCTCTTGTTCACTGCTGTGTACTCCAGATTAGCTAATCCAGGAGCTTCCAGAAATTTTCCTGTCTTCACCTCCTCCCCAGTAAGGACAAGCTAGGATTACAGATTCTTGTACTGAATTCTAAAAGTGGAAAAGCAGGCCATCAGGCTTACACAGTAAGTGCTTTATCTCGTCACCTTCTTTGTAAACATCCAGATTCCTCATGAGAGAAGACATGTTATATTTGTCATTCTGAATCTGGCTTATTTCACTGAACATGATCTCTAGCTTTAGACATTTTCATGCAAGTAACATTTCATTATTCTTTATGGATGAGTAATGCTCTATTATGTGTATGTTTTTTTTTTCTTTTTCTACCTAATGTTCATGGTCCCCGGTCCGATTCCGTAACTTGCCTGTCATGACCAGTGCCCTGAAAACCATGAGTAAGCAAGTATCCCTCTTGCATGACCACTTAGATTCCTTTGGATGTACACAACTAGGAGTGATGTTGCTGCAGCATGACAGTTATAGTTTTAGCTTCTTTAAGGAACCTCCATGCTGATTTCCATAGTAGCTATACTAACTTACACTCCTACCAATACTATATAATGCTTTCCATTTTCTTCCTACATCATTGCAGCACCTGTTATCTTCATGCTAGTAACCATTCTGACTGGGATAATATGAAATCTCAATGTAGTTTTCATTTCAATTCCTAGATGTCTAAAACTCAACTTTGATTACATTTTTTATGTGTGTGTGTGTGTGTGTGTGTGTGTGTGTGTGTGTGTGTGCACACATCTGCAAGCCCAATGTTGGAAGACAAGTTTGTAAAATCAGTCTGTCCTTTACATATGGGTCCCAGGGATTGAACTTAGGTCATCAAACTTGGCTGTGGGCACCTTTGCCTGGCAAGCCATCTTGCCAGCCCTAAGCCTTAACTTTTCAGGATTAATTATCATTAGGATGGGCAGTTTCTCATGATAAATGATGTTCTGAACATTTAGTAAAATGATGTTCTGATCATTTAGTAAGATGAGATGTCTCTCAGGAGCTCCCACCCACAACAATCTGGGATGCAAGACTCTTTCTCCAAACTGGAAAAGTCTTTTTATAGGTCTCCAGCTAGGTCTTCAGATGACATTACATTTCCATTTATTTGTAGGTTTCTTCCACTGCAGTTTGTGACTCTTTCTGTGCACAGTGCTAAGAACTTGAGACTCAAAGTAAAGCTGATAAGTGGCCGAGCCTACTATTTACAGCTCTGTGCTCCTGTATATAAACAGGATATCGTATTTTCTCAGTGGGTGGACCTCATCACCCTCTTGAATCGGGAGAAAACAAGAACTTCCAAAGTGTCAGAGGTTTCGAGCCTCTCAGAAATCACAAACAGCACAGACATCACAGGCTCGATGGACATCATGGACATCACAGCTTTCGAAGAGCTACAGGCCATAAACCCAAACACTCGCATATATTCTGCTAGCATCGCTGAAAGCACAGAATTGTCAGAATTTACAGATGTCACCGATATCACAGATGTCACTGATGTCACTGATAGTCCAGAATATGAGGACACAGATGTTCCAGATATAAAAATTGTCACAGAAGTCACAGAACTCATGGAAGACAAAGAGGCCACAAACATCTCAGGGGTCACAGTAGTATTTGAAAACGACGACATAATAAAGGCCAAGCGAGAGGAAAAGGTATGTGCTGTAGGAGACTTTCATCCTTTTTGATTGCTTGTTTGTTTTGTTTCTCAAGACAGGGTTTATGTGTAGCTTTGGAGCCTGTCCTGGAACCCATTTTGTAGATCTGGATGGCCTCAAACTCAGAGATCCACCTGCTGCTGCATCCCAAGTACTAGGATTAAAGGCCTGCATCACCACTGCCAGATGAGACTTTAATTATTCAATGATCAAGCATGGGAACTGTAACCAAGTTCTCAGTTAACAGTGATGATAAAAATGCTGTGGAGCCAATTCTGAGTAACACTATTTTAACAAAGGACTCAACCCCTGAGCCTGGTATGTCATAAAATATTACCTGAAATAATGACCATCCTTACATCAAACTTACTCCAGTATCAGAAAGCAGTGGTGTGACGGATAGAACCTCAGGGTTAGAATCAGAAGTCCTGGGTTAGAATCTTAACCTTCTGGGTATTCTATATATGACTGGCTAAATTGCTGAACCTACACAACAACCTAAAATGAGAATATTAATATAATATAATGGCTATTTATGATTTGAATATGAGGATGGGCTGAAGCTTCAATAAGAAAATCTGAGGACAGAAATCAGAAAATAAAAAAGTTATTGACTTTAGAAAAAGTCATGGACTACAAAAAGAAAAAAAGAACACAGAACTATACAGCCACATGAGGAAGTGGGGACTTAGCAAACTGAATTAAGGACTGAGTGTTTTACACATTGACAATATAGCCAGCTAACTAAATGGCTCAGCAATAGAGAGCACTTCCTGCTCTTCCACAGGACCCTAGTTCAGTTCCCAGCACCCACATCCTAAGCTCACAACTGCCTACATCTCCACCTCCAGGGGATGTGATACCCTTTAAGCCTCCACAGGCACCCTCTAACAGGAATGAAGAGTTTAGCTACAAAGATGCGAATCATGGGTAATACCATCCGTCCATATGTGCTTGGTGCACATAAGGCCTTGGGTTCAACCCACAGCCCTACACACACAAAGATGTTAATCACCCCATATCCACCTCATGCCTATAATAACAAAGTAATGAAAGTATGAGAACAGTCTAACCCAGCGGTTCTCAACCTTCCTACATTTCAACCCTTTAATACAGTTCCTCATGTAGTGCTGACCCCAAACCATAAAGTTATTTTTGTTGCTATTTCATAACTGTAATTTTGCTCCTGTTATGAATTGTAAATATCTGATATGTAGGCTATCTCATGTGACCCCAGTGAAAGGATTTGTTTGACCCTGAGGGGTCACAACCCACAGGTTGAGAACCACTGGAAACTCCTGCCAAGAACAGCCAAGCAAAGTTATAACTACAAAAAGCAAGTGTCATATTCATCTTGTTTAGGGGCTCCCAAAGTATGTCAAGCTCATGGCAAAACTCTACTAGATGAATTAGTGTTGTGTGCTTGTTAAAATTGTCCCAAAAATGTTTCTTGACCTAAAAGATATTCACTTTATACAATTGAGTAAAAAGAGGGGGTAATAATCTCTTAGAAGTGAAAGTTCACAGTTAACACTCTAAAGGAAAATGGGGCTGGGGAGATGCTCAGATAGTAAATCACTTGCAGCACAAGCATGAGGACCTGGATCTCATCCCCAGTACCTACATCAAAAGCTGGCATGCTGGCACACACCTGAAATGCCAGCCCTGAGGAGCCAGTCCAGGCTAGTCAGTACTTCAAGTCCCATAGAGAAACGATGCCTCAAAGCATAAGATGGAGAGAGTCAAGATGCCCATGTGGACTTCTGGCCTCCACAAGCACATGTGTGCACATGTTCACATATATGGACATGTACTTAAACACACATGCACCGCACATACATACAAAAGAAACAACACGTACTATGAATAACAGTTTGTCTCTGTTGAGAAAATACGTGCAGTTTATACCTTACTTACTCTTCTGAATTCTGTTTCCTCTGCTATAGGTACGTACTTTTAAAATAGGATATATTCAATTTTTCAGTTTTTAATGACAGGTAGAAAATTGATGATAATCAGCCAGGCCTGATGGCAAAAGCACCTGACAGGAGTCCAAGGTCTGTGTGGACCACAGAATGAGTTCCAGGCCAGCCTGAGAACTTGGTGAGACTTTATGTCAAAATGAAAAGTAGGAATACAATTCAGTGGTAAAGCAAAGAACAGTGTGCATATGACCTGAAATGCAATCCTTAGTGCTATAATAATAACAATAAAAGATAAAATGTTAGACTAGAAATGTAAGTGACAACTTCAAAATGACCTCAAAGCAGATCTATATAAAATATATCATTATGGTAGGATGGGGATTAAGTGTGCCAGAGGAAACATTGTATCTGGGCAGGGTCACCACACAAGGAAACATTTCCTCACTTTCACTCTGTTCCTCAGAGGATTTTTTTTATGTGTATGGATGTTTTACTTGCATGTATATCCATACACCACATGTGAGCAGTACCTGCAGAGGCAGAAGAAAGCATTGGATCTCCAGGGATTGGAATTACAGATGGCTGTGAACTACATGTGGGTGCTGGGAATTGAACCTGTGTCCTCTTGGAGGAGCAGCTGGCATTCTTAGCCAGATTCTCCTTATAGGATCTTAGTCTAGAATAGATACACATTGCTTTTATTGTAAGAAAAAAGTGAAGCTTTCTCTTTAGGAACTAAGGTCACTGCATTATTCTCAAGGAAATGCTTTGGGTTGTGCTTTGTTTGATTTTTGTTTTTTGAGACATGATCTTGCTATAGTAGCCAAGGCTGTCCTTGAATTTGCAATCTGCCGGCCTCAGTTTTCCCTGTGCTGGAAGTGCAGGCATGTGTCACTAGACTCAACAGTACTAGAATGGACCAGGTGGTGACCATGAAGGAAGAACAGATATGAAGAACGTTGAGACACAGGTATAGAGTTCGTTGACTGATGGCACTGAGGCCCACATGAGACATTCTGGTAAGGTCACTGGAGAACGTGGTATGTGACAGGATGGCCATTAAAAGCAGAGGAGAGATTTTAGAGAATTGCATTTTAGACTAGGTTGTAGTTCTTAAAAAAACAGTATTATTATTATTATTATTACGAGCCCCAAGTCCGCATCACCTACTAGATGCTCCAAAGAGCAGCCTGACTGAAGAGTAGATATCAAGGTATTTCTAGAAAACCTTCCTTCCCTACCCAGTAATTCAAAGATGAGTGTTGTGACTAGACACTAATCATGTTGTGTGAGGTGATAATGGTGTGTAGCACTCTGAACTGAATGTTCTGCATTAGGATGCAGTGGAGCCTGCCATGGTTCCCTGTGAACACTCAGTAAGTATGGATGAAGTGACTAGAAACTGCTCCATACACAATCTGCTTCTACACAGTGTCCTTCTGCTATCTGATTTGCTCTTGCTTGTCATTTCTCAAGGAAAACATCCTGAAGCATGGGTGTCTACGAGACATGAAAAGTAAGAACGAGTTCAGAGAATCTCCCAAACGTGTCACCATCTCAAACTTAACACTCACTTTCCAAGGTGAAAAATGTTTTCAGACTACTTTGACTCCTATAAAAAGTGAGGAAAGCATAAGCAAAGTAATGAGTCATGAAAGCACAAAAGAAACGATGACTGACCTTCCAAACTACAGTCTCAAGGCTACAGAATCCAGGTCAGTAGCATGGGGAAATACTGTGGGCATTGGAGGGTGTTCACTACGTATACAAATGTGTGTTTGCTTCCCTGTAACTCAGGCATTTGTCTCTGAAGACTCTCAGACCAATGCAAACTGACGGGATGATGACACAGGCACCTCTTAGCCAACCATATTTGAGACAGCCTTGGTTTATTTTAATTTCCACACCAGCTTCTTAGGTTGTGTGGCCTGTATTCCGGCTGTTGGCCAAATGCCAAAAGCATGCATTTTAGAAAATGAAGAGAAGCACAGGGTCCACATTCTAGAGCAGGAGTGTTTACTTCTAGAAAGACTGCGGGTATTTTCATCTCTATACTTAGCTACATTTTCTTCTACAGAGGTTCTATATATCCCTTACACATCTCTGTACTTCCAATACTATGAGAAAACTATTTTCATTGCTTTAATACTTGTACAGCAAAGCTGATTGCAAGTTGAATTGAGAAAATGCTGTAGTGGTACAAAGGTACAAGTTAATACAGTCATTCTAGGGTAACACTTCAAAAGATTTAGCTAACAGCTTCATTAGCTGGCAGCCCATGCCCGTAATCCCAGCTACTCCTGAGGCTAAGGCAAGAGAGCCTCTTCAGCTCACGAGTTCCAGACCAGCCTGGGGAGCATAGTTAGACTCTGCCTTAAACAAATAACTTACATTAGTAAAAATAAAAATGAGGAATGCAATTCTGTCTACCTATTAAATAAATATATTAAAAGAAGAATTGGGAGGGAAGCCCAGTGGTGGTGGACTACTTACTTAGCACACACGAGACCCTAGGTTTGATCCTCAGCACAGGGTGGGGGAAGAAATTGTATATACTATACACACATACACAGGAAAAGAAAAATGAACTTAGGAATGAAATCAACTAGAATTTATTAAGTAATTTGAAGTATTAGAGATTTATCATTTTTCAAAAAGAACAAAGTAGTAAACTATTGGAATGGCTACTTTTTGGAAAAGAAATAAACTGAAAACTTAAAAGTATCACAGCCCTGCAGTAGTGGTGCACGCTTTAATCCCAGCACTTGAGAGGCAGAGGCAGGCAGATCTCTGGGAATTCGAGGCCAGCCTGGTCTACAGAGTGAGTTCCAGGACAGCTAAGGCTACACAGAGAAACACTGTCTTGAAAAACTAAAATTATTAAATAATTTTTTTAAAACTTGGAAATGTCTACAAAACCCTATCTCAACAAAACAAAACAAAACTTGGAGACAATAAATTGATGACTGTTAATAAAAATGTAAAGTGGTGAACTTAAGTGATCTGAAATTAAGAACTTGAAGAAATACGAGTTATCAAAGTTCTCATTAAAGAAAAAAGGCACTTTCTAAATTTTACTAGACAGTTTTATTTTTAACTATGAATTATCTTTGGTTTATGCCATTTTTCTTATAGAATTATAAAAAAATTATTTCTTAAAACTGTAGTTCGCTTTTTCTAAGCCAGACAAAAACAACATAATACATATTATTCCAAATTAATTCTACTTGTGATAATAAAGATCTAAGATTTCTCATGTCTTGGAATCTTGGTAGGCAAAATGTAGCAAGTTTAACGTAAACCTGCGGAAACTTAATATTAGTCACACAAATACAGAAAGAATGGTCATGACATTTGGCCACACTGAAAAATTTATATTCTTGATAACAGAAAACACCTATTTAATAGTGAGTGTCCCGGGATCATGATAAAGTTATTTACTTCAAACCATAGCCAATTTGTATTAGGAGCACAAACAACACCACTATACCTAACAATTTTTTTTAATAAAGAAATTCTAGGGTCAGCGAGATGGCTCAGCAAATAAAAGTGCTTGCTATACAAGCCTGATAGCACAAGTCAGATTTCCTGAAGCAAAGAGAGACCTGAAAATGATCTCTGATCTACTCACATAGTCACACACACACACACACACACACACACACGCACGCACGCACGCACGCACGCACGCACGCACGCACGCACGCACGCACGCACGCACGCACGCACGCACGCACGCACGCACGCACGCACAATGGCACAAGTGTACCCACACTCACACATACATCATATAGACTCTCATACACACAACATATATACACACAATAGTAATAATAAAACTTAATTTAAAAAGTTAATTCTAAATGTGTTCTGCTTAAAATTTAAATCAAATTAAGAATGCTTCCATTAATATATCTGTATACTTTATAAGAAGTTCTATCAATTGTAATAAAACAAAAAAATATAAAAAATATAATAGCTCCAGGCAGTGGTGGCACACACCTTTAATCCCAGCACTCAAGAGACAGAGTCAGGCGAATCCCTGTGAGTTAGAGTCCAGCCTAGTCTGCAGAGTGAGTTCCAGGACAGGCTCCAAAGCTACAGAGAAACCCTATCTCAAAAAAAGAAACAAGCAAACAAAAAACAGTAATAGCATGTTTAATTGCCAGAGACGGTGGTACACACTTTTTATCCCTGCATGTGGGAATAAACACAGGCAAATCTTTGTGAGTTAGTAGCCAGCCTGGTCTATACAAGCTAGCCAGGGCTACGTAGTGAGACCTTGTCCAATGCCCTCTCCTAGACTCTGAGGATAGCTGCATTCACATGTGTACAAACCCTCACTCCCTCCCCACATATACATAATTAGGAAAATAAACAAATCTTTAAAAAAGAAAATAAATACTTATCAATAGCTATAGCAAATACCAATTCCTATAATGATCAGTTATGTTCAAACTGTGGCTTCCTGCTGTAAAATAAAACCCTGCTGTGTATTCGTCTTTGGATTTTCTCTTTTAGCTTGTAAGTCCTCCTTAGTTCTGTGTGCTTGCCTTTCCTGGTGAGCATCTCTTGTGTACTAAAGCAGACTGCTTCCTGATTAGCCCTTCTTCCGTGGTCAAGTGGATTACCTGTAGGTTTTAACTATGAAACACTATGTTCCAATAAATTACTTCCCCTCTTTGGGTTGTTACTTTGGCATGTATTTCTACAAGTGAAGGGATAATGATTTGTTGTGTAGATGGACAGTCAGTTGGTTCATTATCTGGTTGCAGTAAAGTTCCCCACCACATATGAAGACAGCATGAGTGTGACAGACATGGATGAGAAGAAACTGGAGACTACTTAACACCGTTTTCCAGTTGTTTTTCGCATTTGTTTATTTGTCCTGTGGGTTTTTTTGTTTGTTTTGGTTTTGGTTTTAGTTCTGGTTCTGGTTTTGGTTTTCGAGACAGGGTTTCTCTGTGAAGCTTTGGAGCCTGTCCCGACACTTGCTCTGAAGACCAGGCTGGCCTCGAACTCAGAGATCCACCTGCCTCTGCCTCCCGAGTGCTGGGATTAAAGGCGTGTGCCACCAACGCCCGGCTGTCCTGTGTTTGTATGCACATGCACAGAAGTCAGAGGATACTTTTACAAGTTCTCTCCTTCCATCTTGTAGGTCCCAAGGATCAAACTGAAGTCATCAGCGTTGGTAGCAAGGGCTGTAATAGGACTAAGCCATCTTGCAGGCCCAAAACATACTTTTGAAGCTTGTGACTGTCTCCTGGAGTCAACTTACTGTTTCTGTCTTGATAATTCAATTGGAAATTTTGTGAATTTCAGTTACTTAGAAAGATAATCCATTTTTCTTTTCCCATTTTGTTCTTATGTATGTATATATGCATACTATGTGTGTGTGTGTTTAAAATGGTTTATTTGGCAGACAGATATTTGTAATTATTAGGCAGCTTGGAACTCTGTTCTCTCAGGGCTTTATACTTTAGTTGTCTGCTCTAATGTACCGCCCTCCACGCTTTTTCTTTTTCGCCTTCCTCAAATCACTACTTTGTCTCCCTCTGTAGCTCTCATCATCCCAGATTTAATCACAGCACAACCTAGCTGGCATAGTATATTTTGTTTGTTTATAATCTATCTCCTCCACTGGAATAAAGCACTTCAAATGACAGGGACTTGATTATTTTTCACTGTTTATCTCTTGTTCTTAATGTATAAAAGGTGCCTGATAAATATCACAAAGCAAATGAATCATACTTTGACACTGAAAATTATTTTTGTTGTTCCAAGAACAACAACAACAAAAAAGGAACTCTCTTGTATAACTGGGGCAATGATATAATTTCCTTTTCTTCTAGCTTATTTTAGTGTTAAAAATAATTTATTTTTCCATCTGATTTTTGTTGGTACAGAGTAGACCTTTGACTAACACTTCTTTTTGCCTCTCCATGCTTTTTTGAATTCAGATCAGTTTGAATCTGTTACAAATGTTAAACACTGTAATGCTAATTTGTGGGAAGGAGTGCTGTGGATTGAACCAAGAGGTTCACATACACACTAACAGGACACTACCACTGAAGAATGCTTCCCATCTTGAAGACTTCATAATTCCATGTTCATGGGTATAGGTCTCTTAGCAACTTTACTAATTATTTGAGTTTTTAATTTCTTTAATTGCATTTGTTTAGTGTGTGGGTGGGGGTATGTATGTGTATTTTATACCCAAAGGAAAAACTGTCAACTCAAACTCAGGAATCTCTTTGTAGGAATTCTCCAAAGCTAGGAGCTAGCTGTACATACTTAACGGCTTACTTTGGCTATTGCTATTATCATCCACAGGAAATTTTCTACTTAGTATCAGAGGTGGAAAAGCAACTAAAACAGATAAATGTCCCTAGACTACTGATGTGTGTGTCCTACCACCTAGGTAATGGGGACTGATTATAGGGTCTCCTTGCTAGGCAAGCCACTAAGCTACAACTTTACCCTTAAAAACAATGGTTTGTTTTTGTTTTTTTTTGTTTTTGTTTTTGTTTTTTTTTCACAAAATGTCAATATGCAACTCAGGTCAGCCTGGAATTTACTGCTGAAAGGCTACTGGCAAACCTGATGTGCTAGAGGAAAAAGGGGAAAAGCTTAAAGCAAAACAAAATAAACAATAAACAATAAACAGGAGGAAGAGGTAATAAAGGAGAGAGAAACAGAAACTATCCATCATATACAGGAAAGGAGCCAGGTGGTGGTAGGGCACGCCTTTAATCCCAGCCCTCGGGAGGCAGAGGCAGGCGGATCTCTCTGAGTTTGAGACCAGCTTGGTCTACAAGAGCTAGTTCCAGTATGGCCTCCAAAGCAATACAGAGAAACCCTGTCTCAGAAAAAAAAAAAAACAAAAAAAACAAAAAAAAAAAAAACAGAAACAGAGAAGGAAGACAGGAATACAAGATGCAGGATAGAAGCAGTGCCAGCCAGTGGGGAACAGAGCATCCACCCCTATACACCAGTGTGGGCTTAACAGAAAACCTAGGATGCCTTCCTTCAATGATATAAACGAATCCATCCAATTTAGCAGATTTGTCCTAAATAATTATTGGTCAGGCCCAGGCACTCTAATGTCACCCTTCTATTTTATTCCACTCTGACAACACAGCTATTCCCAGGCACTAATCTACAGAAACCATAAATTAAACTCTAACCTCGTGAGGCTGTTAGGCCAGCATCTCTTCATTTGCCTTTTTGCCATGAAACTGTTGCATGTCTAGAACAATTGATTGACAGGCTTTACTTGGTAGTGCAGCTTTCAGTGTATAGAATGAATTAGCAGCTACAACCACAGTCACTTCCCTTGCACACTCCAGTTTCCTCAGTTACTTGGCATGTTATAATCAATGTGCCAATGCTGATGTGTTGTTATTAAGTGGCTGTAGTTTACAGTTTATAACATAGAGGTTCATACTTCATAATATAAAGTTCTATAGGTTTTGATGAATGTATGTTCATAATCATTTCATTTCTCTAAAAGCTCCCCCAGCATTAGATTCTGGGCATGTATGTGTGTGGGTTTGTGTACAAGTGAGTGCAGTTGCCATGGATGCCATGGAGACCAGCAGAAGGTACTGGGTCCCTTGGAGTGTTATGAGCTGAACTCAGGACCTCAGGAAGAGTAATATACACTGCTGAGCCAATTCTCTAGTTCCCTATATTAGCTATTAGCTCTTAAGTGCTTTTTCTCTTCAGTTCAAGGAATTGAAACTAAGGCCTTGTACATGTTAGGGAAGGGCTCTACCTTGAAGTGCATCCCCAACTTTTTTTTTTTTTTTTTTCGAGGCAGGGTTTTTCTGTGTAGCTTTGGAGCCTATCCTGGCACTTGATCTAGAGACCAGGCTGGCCTCGAACTCACAACAAATTCAAGCATCCCCAACTCTTAATTGTTTTGTTCTGGTAGTTTTGTTTGTTTGCTGGCTTGAGACAGGGTCTCACTATGTAACGCTGGTGTGGTGGTTTGAATATAATTGGCCCTCATAATCTCATAGGGAGGAGACGTATTTCTAGGAGGTGTGGCTTTGTTGGGAGTAGGTATGGCCTTGTTAGAGGAAGTGTTTCGCTGTGGAGGTGGGCTTTGAGGTTTCCTATGCCCAGGTTACCTCCCAGTGTCTCAGTCCACTTCCTGTTGCCTGCAAGTCAAAATATAGCAAGCACCACATCTGCCTTTATATCACCACGCTCCCATGATGATAATGGATAATGGACTGAATCTCTGAAACTCTAAGCTGCCACCCCAATTAAATGCTTTTTTTTTTCAAGACAGGGTTTCTCTGTGTAGCTTTGGAGCCTATCCTGGCACTCGCTCTGGAGACCAGGCTGGCCTCGAACTCAGAGATCTGCCTGCCTCTGCCTCCCAAGTGCTGGGATTAAAGGCATGTGCCACCAACGCCTGACTTTTTTTTATGTAAGAGTTGCTGTAATCATGATGTCTTTTCACAGCAACATAAACCTTAAGACACCTAGCTAGCTTGTGGCTTGCTATGTAAACCATGCAGCTCTGAACTCAAGAGAGATCCACCTACCTCTGTCTCTCAAGTGCTGGATCGAGGACCTGTGTCACCACACCCAGCATTATTTTTATTTTTAAATGATTTTTGCATTTTATTTATTCATTTAGTGGGGGTGGGGTGTGAAATGAATGTGTCAGGATGCTTGTGTGGAGGTCAGAGGACAACTTGTGAGAATTGGTTCTCTCCTTCTGCCATGTGGGATCTGGAGATCAAATTCAGGTTTTCAGGCTCAGAAGCAGGTGCCTTTACCCTTTGAACATCTCACCAGCCCTCTTGGCTTTTTGTTGTTATTGTTTTTAATAAAATCTACAAAGGTAACAGGAAGAAATGCACTTAATAGGTGCTAGGCTATGTTAGTTTCACTATATGATCATTAGAAATGATATGAATTCATACATAAGCAGCAAAATAACGATACAAGCATATTGTAATTTGGCAAATTAAATTCTTTAAGGCTTTACACTTAGCTCCCGATACCATTAATATACTAACTACTAGGAAGAAATAAATAAGAAAATAAAAACAAAACTAAATTGCTATTCTAAGTAATCCTCTTGAGGTCTGTGCCATGGGGACATATTTGTATGGGGAATATTTTTGGTATACCATGGTGTTTTGCACTGGGAACATAATTAGTAGCTAGCCTCTATTTCGAGATTTTATTTTTTTTTCTTTTTGGTTTTTCGAGACAGGGTTTCTCTGTGTAGCTTTGGAGCCTATCCTGGCACTCACTCTGGAGACCAGGCTGGCCTCGAACTCACAGAGATCCGCCTGCCCCTGCCTCCCGAGTACTGGGATTAAAGGCGTTGGCCATCAAGAATGTTAATTACAAAAGAAAGATGTAAGATTTTAAGAACAGGATGGAAGTCATCTATCCTGTATTTCAGGGGTATTTTTAGATTTTAGCCAGGAAGGTGAGGTTGATGAATATATTCTATGTGTTATTTTTCTTTCCTAAGACCATTAATTTCAGGGACACTTTATAAAATTGTTTGCTTTGGAATACAAAAATGTTAAAAAGCCACACATGACCTTGCTGAGTATTGTGCCTCTCTGGTCACTACTGTTTAAAATGCAAAGTAAGTAATTTAAATCCATATGGGATAAGGATGAGGGAACTAGGCTTTTCTCCACTGTCACAAATTTACCTTGTTACAGAGAAAACAGTGATGCTGTGACCCTTTGCTTTGACCAGGATCATTGGCCTCATTTTAATTTGTACCTGTTTTGTAAGGCACATTCTCTTCGTATTGTCCAGTCTCTTGGCAGTTTTTAATCGTTAACCTCAGCCTTTAAATCACCAGACCTATTGGCACCAGACCTATTTTGGCAAACTCCAGAGAATTATTACTGAAAGATCCATTGTAGAGCCTGAAGTGAATGCATTTGCCTGACCCCTCGCATGAGTCATAACCGCCTCTACAATTCCGTGGGTAGGGAAATCTCTCACACTCCAAGAGAAGGCTGAGCAGCGGCCAGTGGAGATGCCAGAAGACTTTATGCTATTACATACAATTCGATCTTGTGGCTTTTTGAATTGAATATAATGTAAATAAACAATCTTACTCCGGTATAATCACTAACAGTCTAGGTTTGCTAAGGGAGGTTCATTGCTACTCCTGAAGCATTTGGAAAATGACTAGTGATCTCAGACCCGGCCATTCTTGTGTCAATATTTGTGGTCACGGTGGCAGCTCCTTGAAATGTGTTGTTTATTTTTACAGGAGCACAAGCACTGATTCAGACACTTCAGGTAAGGAACAAATTCCAAGACATGTTTTATTGTGATCTTCAGTAGAGGAGTCACCCAGGTTCTTAGAACAGTAGAACAAAGGGTTCCAGCTGGACTTTCTGATGCCTGCCCGTTCTAAACACTCCACCCTGGAGAGACTCTCCCAGGTGTGCCGGTCACTCTGACTCCCTAGTTCCCTGAGTCTGATCAGGCATGAACCACTCTGAGGAGAGCCCTACGGATGGAGTCCAACCCACAGCAGTAACATGACCTCACATCCTTGCAGATCTGTATGGGGATCATTTTTGGTAAATTAAAAATCACTTGTTCCTCTGCTCTTCCCATTTATGTCTTCAGCCTAACACTTACTGTGGAGTGACATTATTGAATTCTTGGGAATTTTTTCTTAACACATTCCCATGTCTTAAGGAATCTTTAACTTTCAACAACAAGCATTTGACAAGGCAGTTGTCATATAGGCCGATATGGAAACTTTGCGCTTTGGGGACTCACCTCTAAGCCATTCTCTAACCTGTGAGCTGAACTAAGCCTCAGCTACATTACACTCATAAAGAATATTATGGAAAGAACACAGAGGACTATTTAACTCGATTTAAGTGGAGAGGAAAAATACTTAAAAAAATATTTAAAGACATTTATGGTCATACTTGAGTCTGTTCTACCAAAAAAGGAAAGAAAAGAAGATTATATGGTAGATACAACTTTTTAAAAGAAAATTTGCTTATTTTATTTTATGTGTATGAATGTTTTGTTTGCATGCGTATATGTGCACCATGTATGTGTGCCTGATACTAGGCAATGTCAGAAGAGGGTAACTGGAGTTCCAGTTATGATCCATCAAGTGAGTGCTGGGAACTGAAGGCAGGTCCTCTGAGAAGAGCAGTCGGTGTTCTTAACCAGAGAGCTACCTCTGTAGCCTGATATAGTATAGCACCACATAGAGCATGAGGATCCTGAGGGGGGGGGCGCACTGATCAGCTTAGCTGAATCTGAAAGCCCCAGGCCCTGAGAAACCATGTCTCAAAAATCAAGATACACAGGTCGTGAGGAGACACCTGAGGTTGTCCTCTGGTCTCCACATGTACACAGGTGCTCACATACATGCAGATACATGTACACCCACCACCCACGTATGTGCTCACGAAGAGAGAATTATTCTCAGTCTACATATGTGAACAAAAGAGACAAAGAACAAGAATGACAATTTGGGAGACAGCATGGCAAGGACATGTAAATCCATGAAACAATCTGGGAGAGGGAGCCACAGGGAATACGGAGAGAAGCGCTGAAGAAAGGCAATTGAATGCTGATGTTGAGTCAGAACCCCCAGGCTTTATTTAGTACTTTCTCCATTACCTGAATATGCCATTTATCTATCTCTGTGTGTATGGTTGGGCCGTTGGGCTGAGGAGGGCATTGTGAAGGTTATTTTTCTAAAAGCTGATAATTTTGTGCTGCTGATGGCCCATTTCTGTAGAGCTAGCAGGCAGCTTGAAGTGGGTGTCTGGGACACCAGGATCTAACCACAGATCCCACAAAGGAGTATCAAAAGTCCCCCCCTGGAGCTTGCTGAGTCACAGCATGGCACAGTTTACAGTATGGCATGCAGGTCGCTGCAGAACATTAACTGTTTTCCTGTTTGTTTTCTCTCACGTGCTTTCCCACTGCTTTCTTCTCTCCTCTCCCATGTCTTCCCATTTTTCTTCCTCAGGCTTATATAGTTTTTCAGTTTTCCCCCTGATTAGCATTTCTTTCCCCCTTTTCACTCTCCTCTAACTCATGTTTTCCCCTTCCACACACACTCTTACCATTTGTTAATAATACTCTGTACCTCAAGAAAGCAAAGACAACCGCATCCCAAACCCTCATTCTATTAAATTCAGGCTGAACAAAGGCTAAAAACGTATCTGTAATTCTAATTTCTAGATAAAGCCAGAATAATAATGCTGTCCAAAGAAGGAAAATAAATCCCATTTGAACTTGTCTGATTCTCGTTCCCAGCTCCCAGGCAGAGGTAGGCGAGGACAGACACCCGATTCATCTCCCACATGCCTCTGCAGCTGAAGGGTTACCTTCTCTTCTTCACAATGTTTGATGCAACGTGGCACTTGGAATGCACCGTTTCTATACACAAGGCCGTGGAATGACAGACAAGGCAGACCTCAAGCTAGACCTGTCGCTCTGGACCTGAGTCCATCTCTCCTTTCTTGACTTTTCATTTCTTACCTTTCAAGGCTCCCTTCTCAACTTTTTCTGATTCCTTTGTAGTGAGCCCAGATGGCAGGCTTTTCTCTGGAGCCACAGTATTTTTTCCTACATGAAAAAAAAAAAAAAAGTGAGATCAAAGATAAAGGTTGGAGAAATGAGAGGGAAATCATATATGAAATCCTGTTTCCTTCCCACACCGCCTACTACTTTTCCATCTTCCTGTTCAATATTACAAATCAAGTTCTAAGCGGCCACTGCTTGTGAAACCTGAACAAAAAAGGAAAAGGGAGGGAAAGCCCCAGAAGGGACCAGGTTTGTGACCCAACAGTGAGCTCCACTGGAGAGAACATAGACACTTGGCAAGGTGGTTAGGACATCGTTTGAATTTGAGACCCAAATTAAGTTTTCTCCTTGTGTGCCCTTCTCTCTCTCATCTTTGGCTTCCTTCTTTCCCACGTTTCCTCTGATGATATCTCTTCTACTTTCCCTCACTCCTGCTCCTCTTCCCCTCTGGCTCTCTGCCTTCATATCAAATCCTCTTCTAATTTCTTCAACCTGTACCTCATCTGTCTCCCCCTTTCTCAGGGGGAGTGTACATAAGCCAAGTAAAACAGACAAAGTCACAATCAGTGGAAGGGCCTGTTATATGTCTCAGAGGTGAGTTTTTAATATGATAAGACTATGTAGATTTAAGTGGCAGACATGACACTTTCCGAAAATCTTAATAAGTTGACTCTTAACATGAATCTCATTATGTCTATTGTAACAAAAGAGGTGAAGTTGCCAATAAAGAGAGAACAGAAATGTGGAGGGAGGGGTTTGTTGTGGCTTCTTCTCCAGACTCTTACCGTAGGCCTGATGGCAGCAGCCACAGGAGGCAGAGCAGAGGGGGCTTTGGGGGAAGCACTGGAGAGAATTACACACTGCTGCTGCTACTTGGAAGCTGTTTCTCTCTTTACCCTGTACAGGTCCCAGGGACAGAACTCAGGTTGTCAGGCTTGCCAGCAGGCACCTCTACCTGAGCCATCTTGTCTATGCAGACACCTTTCCTTTTTTGTGTTATGAAGAAAAGCTTCATTATAAACACTGATTTACTTTTAGTGGCACTTGGAGACGAGCCCAGGGCCTTACTCATAAGTCCTCTACTACTCATCTATATCCCAAGCCCTTAGTTTTATTTTTCATTTTAATATTTTTTTAGACTTACTTATTATGTGTGTGAGTGTTTTGGCCGCATGTATGTGCACTATGTACATGCCTTTGGAGGTTGGATAGAGTCATCAGAGTCCCTGGAAGTAGAGTACTATATAATATATAATGTATAATTAGAAGTCACCATGTGGGTGCCAGGAACTGAACTCAGGTCCTGTGGGAGAGCAGCAATTGCTCTCAACAACTAAGTTGTATTTACAGTTCTAATTTTATCTTTTAATTGTTTCTTTGAATTAATTTTCTTTGAATTAATTTTTAACCTTTCACTTAAGAGTAAAACTATTTAGGGCATTTTATGTAAGTATACATTTTGCATTTCAGACCTTTGAAATAAACTGACTTGTGGTTTTTGTCAGATCAGGACACACTACTAAACTAAAAGCAAAGCCCAAGTCAGAAAAATCTCTTCAAGAGGAAAACAGCAATAAAGGCTATACTAATCACTCAGAATGCAAAGCCATGCCTATCTAATTTCTTTTTTTCCCCTTTTTTAAAATTTAAATTAGAAACACGCTTGTTTTACATGTCAATCCCAGTTCCCTCTCCCTCTCCTCCTCCCTTGCCTCCCACCAACCCCCTATCCCATCCCCTTTCTGCTCCTCAGGGTGGGGTAAGGCCTTCTATGAGGGATCTTCAAAGTGTCATATCATTTGGAGCCCACCAAGGCCCCCTCTTACCGCCCCCCGCCGTGTGTCTAGGCTGAGAGAGTATCCCCCCATGGGGAATGGGCTCCCAAAGTCCTGATCCACTCCCAGAGGCCCCATAGATTGCCCAGGCCTCCTGACACCCACATTCAGGGGGTCTGGGTTAGTCCAATGCTGGTTTCCCAGTCTGGGGTCCATGAGCTCCACCTTGTTTAGGTCAGCTGTTTCTGTGGGTTTCTCCAGCCTGGTCTTAACCCCTTTGCTCATCACTCCTCCCTCTCTGCCAATCTAATTTCTAAAATGCTATTTTAGATGTGTATTTTTCTTCTTGTTTGTGGATATGTATTTTAAAAGAAGTTCAAAAAGCATTAAATAAAGAGCTATGCAAATGATAAGGATTTCAATTTATAAACTCAGTTTACAAGCTTGTTAGGAAAAGTTGTTCTACTGTGGTTTTACTTTTATCACTATTATACTAGCCCCTCTATGTTGGGTGTTTTGGTATCACTGATAGTGAAGACTGTGTTCTATACATATTTGTGATCTAGTTGAATACTTGGTGCTAGATAGTATTTATTGAATTCATAATTTGGCAATACATGATACTAAGTGACAATTTACTGAGTGTAATTTTCAACCTGATTTTTAAGAAATCCCATTTAAAGGAAACTATAAGGCTGGGCATGGAGGTCAGTGGTAGAGCGCTTGCCCATCCTGGCATTGCAGACCCTCACTATAATGTCCACAACCCCAAAGCCAAAGAGGAGAAGCAGATCTGAAGAATGGTTTGTATTTTTTAAAGTTTCCACTTAGGGGCTGGACACATGGCTCTGCAGTTCAGGGTACTTGCTGAGTTCTTGCACCCACACAGAAACTCATAGCCATTTATAACTTCAGTTCCAGGAGATCTGACACCCCTCTCGCCTCCATGGACAC